GTGGCAATGGGCTTGGCGGTCGACGGGTCGATGGACTCGAATGTCTCGCCCGAGGTGGCAGGCTGGACTTTGCCGTCCCAGTAGAGCTGGCGGGCGCCGTAGGGTTGCGACATGGCGGTGGTGATGGATACGACGGTGGTGACAACAAAGCGATGACGGTGAGTGGTAAGAGCACGGCGGCGGAGGGCGACGGAAGTCGCAGCAAAAGTGGGCCGCAGCGCTGAAGCCACGGCGACAACGTCAATGCAGACAGTGAAGTGTGCGGGATCGCGACGGGCGGTGGTTCATGAAATTTTTGACGACGCGAGACGGATGGATCCAGTGACTATATTTTTAGCGTGTGTTATTGATGCGCTCCATTGACCTTTTTCAGGCAAAGGGACCCGCGATCCTCCCCACCACGCGGCTTGGGCTTTGATCCGCCCAGGACCACACCGACAACTCCGTCCACGATCGCCTGTCGTCGACTGATACCGGTGCCATTTTGCGCTGCCATCGGGGCCTGACAGCCTGCCTGTGGGGTAGCCGTATCACTGATGCTGCCATAGCGTTTCCGAGGGTCATCCCAGAGGGCCCTGCATGTCCTCTGTCCCGAAAATTCTTCAAGAGACTTTTCCCCGTCGAGTTTCCTTGTTTCTTGTCTTTGTCCTAAACGCAACCGTCCCTCTTTTTCCTCGTCGTTTCCGTTGATAGTCGTAGCCCCGCCAAAATGTCTACCACCACCAAGCTGCCCGCCCACACCGTCAACGACTATGACTTTGTCATTGCCGGCGGCGGTACTGCCGGCTGCGTCGTTGCTAGCCGCCTGGCCGAATACCTGCCCGACAAGAAGATTCTCCTGGTCGAGGGCGGTCCCTCCGACTTCCAGGATGATCGCGTGCTCCTGCTCAAGGAATGGCTCAATCTCCTCGGCGGCGAGTTTGACTACGACTATGGCACCACTGAGCAGCCCATGGGCAACTCGCACATCAGGCACTCCCGCGCCAAGGTCCTCGGTGGTTGCTCCAGCCACAACACCTTGATTTCCTTTCGCACCTTTGACTATGACATGCAAAGATGGCAGAAGCTGGGCTGCAAAGGATGGGACTTCAAGACCATCAACCGTCTTTTGGTAACGTGCCGCGTCGATATGTACTACGTCATGAACTAACTTGGAGCCAGGACAACCTTCGTAACACCGTCCAGCCCGTCCATGAGCGTCACAGGAACCAGCTTTGCAAGGACTGGATTGTTGCTTCCGCCAAGGCTCTTGACATTCCCATCCTGCACGACTTCAACGCCGAGATTAAGCGTGAGGGCCACCTCAAGCAGGGTGTTGGTTTCCTTTCCGTTGCCTACAACCCCGACGATGGCCGCCGGAGCAGTGCCTCTGTTGCCTACATCCACCCCATTCTCCGCGGCGAAGAGAAGAAGCCCAACCTGACCATCTTGACCAACGCCTGGGTCAGCAAGATCAACATTGAGGGTGACCGCGCTACTGGCGTCAACATCACCCTCTTTGACGGCCAGAAGCGCACCGTTCGCGCCAAGCGCGAGACCATCATCTGCAACGGTGCCGTCGACACTCCTCGTCTGATGCTGCTCTCTGGTCTGGGTCCCAAGGACCAGCTCCAGAGCCTGGGAATCAACGTCGTCCGCGACATTCCCGGTGTCGGCGAGAACCTGCTCGACCACCCCGAGAGTATCATCATGTGGGAACTCAACAAGCCCGTTCCCGCTGACCAGACCACCATGGACTCGGACGCCGCCGTCTTCCTCCGCCGCGAGGTGCCCAACGCCAACGGGGATGACAAGGACATTGCGGACATCATGTGCCACTGCTACCAGATTCCCTTTGTTTACAACACCGCCCGGTAAGTGCCTTTGTACTATTGTGGTTTCAACAGCTGATAGTGACCAGTCTTGGCTACGACACTCCCATTGACGCCTTCTGCATGACCCCCAACATTCCCCGCCCCCGCTCTCGCGGCCGTCTCTACCTGACTTCGTCCGACCCCAACGTCAAGCCTGCGCTCGACTTCCGCTACTTTACCGACCCCGAGGGCTACGACGCCGCTACGATTGTTGCTGGCCTCAAGGCTGCTCGCCAGATTGCCGAGCAGGAGCCCTTCAGGTCCTGGATCAAGCGCGAGGTTGCCCCTGGCCCAAAGATCCAGACGGACGAGGAGCTTAGCGAGTACGGCCGTCGCGTCCACCACACCGTGTACCACCCGGCCGGTACCACCAAGATGGGCGACGTTACCAAGGACCCTCTTGCCGTCGTCGACCCTCAGCTCAACGTCCGCGGCATTAAGAACCTTCGCATCGCGGACGCTGGTGTCTTCCCCGAGATGGTCACCATTAACCCCATGCTTACGGTGCTGAGCATTGGTGAGCGCTGCGCTGAGCTCGTTGCCGAGGCTGCTGGCTGGCAGGGTCTTGAGAAGCCCAAGCTCTAAGCGCATTGGTTGTGGATCTTTGGGTGGAATTTTGGATAATGTAGTCATCAGCTTCACGGTTTACGGAAAAAACGGCGCTTGGTGGAAATTTGCGGGAGACTTTGCTGGGCCATATATCCTAGACGCCATTTATGCATAGCACGGAAAAAATTCAGTATTTAAGTTCGCCTTTGGGTTTCAACGTGTGGTCTGATGGTTGCCGGTTGAAGCCTGGTAAAGCGGGATGGTGAGAAAGCATCTCCGAACCATCTCCCGAGGTCCCGTTCGAGAGTCGTCACTCCACGTGATGGCCTCTCTCGTTGTCACTTGCAACCGTTCAACCGCATCGTCAGCCAAAGGATGCGGCGCTTCGGTTTGCGTTTTCCCAATTTACTTCGAACTTTAATTAGGATCTTTGTTCCAGCCTCTTGTATCGTTCTCGAGTTACTCACGACAGCCCTGCGTTCTCTTTGATACCCCTTCTCCATCATGGCATCAGCAGAAGGATCGGATTCAAAGTAAGATGCGCATTCTCTCTACCTTGCCTGCCACTTTTTCAAGATCTACGCTGACTGTCATACTAGACCCATCTACATACTCTTTGTCGGCGCCGGCGCAGTAGGCTGCTTTTACGCATCACGACTTCATCACGTGGGTGCCCAACTTTCATCACTCGACAGAGCGGTCTAACACAATCATGGATTCAGCCATCCAAAAACATTCATGTCTCTCTAGTTGCTCGATCAAACTATCCCACACTTTCGCGCTCCGGAATTGAGCTCGAAAGTCGCAACTTTGGCAACTACCACTTTACGCCACACGCAGTATATGCGTCAATCGACGAGGCGGCTGCCGCCACACCGCCGTCGGGCTGGTCCTACGTGATTGTAACGACCAAGGCGCTCCCGGGTGTGACGGACGACGCGGCGGCGATTGAGCCGGTGGTCGGCGCGGGCGCGACGTGCATTGTGCTGATTCAAAACGGCGTCGGCATCGAAGAGGCGCACCGCAAACGGTTCCCGCGCAACCCCATCGTCTCCGCCGTCACAGTCATCTCCGCCGAGCAAGTGCGGCACGGCGTGGTGAGGCAGAACCGCTGGACGCGCATCAGCATGGGCGCGTACACGGACGGGCTGGGCGTGGACGACGAATCGGCGCAGCATCAGCAACAGGAGAAGCATCAACTTTCGCAGCGCGGCGACGCGTGCGTGCGCGAGCTCGTGCACCTATTCAACGACCTGGGCGGGCTGCGCGACGCCGAGTTCTACGACGAGGTGTCGCTGCAGCAGGTGCGGTGGCACAAGCTGCTCATCAACGCCGCCTTCAACCCGTCGGCGATTCTCAGCGGCGGCCGCGGCAACGCTGACATGGTGACGGACGCGGAGCTGCGCGCCCATCTGCACGGCATCATGGCCGAACTTTACGACGCCGCGCCGCGCATCCTCGGTCGCCCGTTCCCCGACAAGCTGGCTGCCCCGGACACCATTTTGAAGAGCACCGAGCGCAACAAGGGCGGCAAGCCGAGCATGTTGCTTGATTGGGAGCGTGGTCAGCCGCTTGAGTTGGAGGTCATTCTCGGCCTGCCCATTCGGATTGCGCGCCAGAGGGGTGTCGAGCTGCCGCGGTTGCAGACGGTGTATGCGTTGCTAAAGAGCGCGGTGCGCGAGAGGGATGCGCGGTTGAAGGCGGAGAAGGAGAAGGGAAGCCCGAAGTTGTGACTGCGGCCGCGAAGCTCGCCATGAGTTACTATCGAACAGAGATAGATGTAAAACTTGATTTCGCTAGCCACATCCTCGTCTAAAAAGAGGGACCGCATTAATTGGTCTGGAGTACTTTTCCATTTCGCCTGTTCTCTGTGCAGCAAGTGAGGAGGTCCTTCGTCGTACAATTACATATCCGACCGTCTCCGCATCAATCTTTTTGCGTTCTTGGACAACGGCGAAGTGATGATGATGTTTCGTCTTTATGGACACCACCACAATCTTGACATCAATTCGTCGATTGGAGCCAAGCACCGCCTTATCAAGAAAGCCACTCATCCCTCGCATGTTTCTTTATCTTTGAACTTGTCAAACTGCCCTCACTCCTTCGCCGCTCGCTTGTCTAGCGAGCACATCGCCCCACCTTTGTCAGTGCTCAAGCATTCGATAGGTGACGTCAATGCTTACAGATCTAAAGCTTTGGGAGCTCACTATGGAAGAGAAGGGAAGGTAATGAGCCCTAGTATGAAGTAGTTAGAGCATTCCTGCACAGTTGGAGAATAAATTGAGTCAGGTGCAAGAAACCTAGAAGACAATTCGTAGAGGCAAAGACAATTGACAGGGTCGAGCGATGCTTTCCCTGCGTCGAGACAGCTGGGAGAACGAAGAGCAAGGTGTACGACTCACCCAAGTACCATCGGTGCAGCCCCAAACACATCCAGGGGTCAAAAAGGGGGTGGCGCAACACCTACAACCCAACCCACCACCCAAGCCAAACACACCAGACGTCTTCCTCACTTTGCTGAAGCGTCTCTTTCATCGTAGGGCCCGGCAAGAAGTAGTCCCGAACCTTTCCCGTCGTGTCAGGCCCAAGAGCAAAAATTACGGGATGCGAGACTTGAACTCGCGACCTTCAGTGCTCTTCAAACTTCAGAAATTCTCTGTTAGACTGACGTGATAACCAACTACACCAACCCCGCGTGTAGACTATAAGACTTCGATTGTGCATTTTCTTTCATTCATTCCATCTAAGCAAGCAGTGGAAAACTCCATGTTCTTCTGGACCATTTTGCGGCTCCTGACAGAGTCAAAGCAATTTGACTAGAGCGAGCATGCTAAATTACAATGGCAAACAGGTGGACTTGTAAGTGGGTCGTGGAAAGAGGGAGAACAAAAAGGGGCAGGGGAAGGAAGATCCCAACGAAGGACTCCAACAAAGCAAGGATGTCTCACCACGTGCACTCGAGTCGCACGCATCGAGGAATTAGAAGACAAAGCAAACGAAGAAGTAAAACAAACCAGTTGACGATGCGGAAAAACTTTGAGATGGAGGACGGAGTTTCGGGTTGTGTCGCTGAAACGGCATCGCGCTGCTCAACCACGCAGTTCACCATCCTAGCAGCTTCGCGCATCACCAAGGTACAAATGTGTGACCGGCTTCGCGCGCCGATACGCGAAACACAGCGACGGATCTCGTCAACGGCGCCACGGGGCAGACAAGAGTACCAAGCAACAGACCAAGCAAGCGGGGGGGGGGGGCGTCAGCAAAGCTTACTCGAGACACATCTGCGCCGAAGACTCGTCACATCCGTCTGATCTGCCATCTGGCGCACAAGGCAAGACGACCAAGCACCGCTAAACAGCTGGTGGATGGAGAGCCGGCTTGGCTTGGAAACCTCGGGGAGCTTACAAATGGGCGCGAAGGTGATGAGAAGCGGTGGCACTCTGCTGGGTGTTGCTGACGCCATAGATCGGACTGCAAGATGACGCAGGCAGGCTGTGCGCATTGCAGCTTGCGATACATTGCTCTGGCATATACCTTGTTGGTTGGCTGCGGATCACGCTGGCTGACCGCCTGGGTATCTGATCTGGGCGAACAGTGATGATGGAGATCGAATTGGACCCTGGAAATTGGCAAGCATCCAATGCTTGTCTGTTTTTCTGATATCTATGGACTTGATTCTGCAGATGCAGCGACAGGAACAGTACCGCCCGCCATGATCTTCACACTGCACATTGCGCAATCCGGCCATCGCAGCCAACACGTTCGCTCCCCACAACACCAAGTTTGCGCAGCACCCGGTCCATCCCGACTCCGAACCGGCGCATCACACTCAGAGTCCAACAGCGGCAGTCTGGGCCAACGCCGCACCCACAGTCTACATGGGGTCGACGACATTCCAATACTAGCCAACCAGTGAGCCACGCATGCAAGCCGTTGGCGTCGTGCAAACCATGGCCGCGTCAATCAGGGTATGGCGGTCGGGTCTCGAGGTGAACCTGGGGAGGTGGATGGGGGATGGAGGACAGATGCGTCGTGGGCGATCGGAGGCGCTGTGTCGTGTGTTAGCAATCAATCACAGGCGCCATGGGAAGCGGCGGGCCAGAGCGGCCAGCTCGACCAAAGTCGGTGCCGGTCGGAGATGGCGACGTTCCTGCATTAGCGCGGCCACGACATTTCATCTTCAGGCATGCAATAATCGAGCACGTCAACGACTTGGTCCGGATCAGTCAGGTCAATGGAAGAAGTCCTGGGCGCGATCGGCCGAACGTCTGGGCTCGCTGGCTTGGGCTGTTGGTTGGCGGACTACGGGCAATTTTGTCGCGTCGTCCGCCTCGCCTGCCTATGCCATTCTTCTTTTCAGCGTCCGTCTTCCCTCTCCTTTCCAGCGTGCAGTCTGCAATCAATTACCTACATACCTACTCTCTCCGTCGTCAAACGCCCGGCCTCTCAGGACGCGTTCCTGCTTCTGCACCCGCGATCGCTTTGAACCTTCTTTGCTGGGAGCCTCATCAATCCTGCTTCGAGTCGCGGCAATAAACTTCAGCCGCCAACCTACCTCTGCAGCCTCACTCGCCCATTGGCCCTCGCCCACCCTCAGTCCTGCCGTCGCCTTACTCGGCAATGTCCGCAAAATTTCAAATCATGTCCCCAGCAGCAAAAGCAAAAACGCCCCTGTCGGTCAGCCTGCCGCCTCTCATATTCGGCACCGCAACCTTCAACCACCAGTACAACAAGGATCCTTTCGCGCTTGACACTACCGGCCTCGTCCAGTCCGCACTCGAGTTGGGAATCCGCGCTTTCGACACTTCGCCCTATTACGGTCCCTCCGAGTCATTGCTGGGCGCTGCTCTTGCGACGCCGTTTGTGCGCGCGTCTTTTCCGCGCGAGGAATATTTCCTGCTCACCAAGGTTGGTCGCGTCTCCTCGGACGAGTTCGACTACAGCCCGGAGTGGGTGCGCGCATCGGTCGCACGGAGTCTCGAGCGGCTCAAGACACCATATCTTGATGCCGTGTATTGCCATGATGTTGAATTCGTGAGCGAGGACGAGGTACTGGGTGCGATTCGCGAATTGCGCCGGATTCGCGACGAGACGGGTACAGTCAAGTACGTGGGTATATCTGGCTATCCGGTGGACACGCTGTGCCGGATTGCGGAAAGGGTCCTTAGTGAGACTGGCGAGCCGCTGGACATTGTCCAAAACTATGCCAATTTCACCGTGCAAAACACAACACTGGCAACCAAGGGAATACAGCGACTAGTGGAGGCGGGTGTCGACGTGGTCCCCAATGCCAGTCCTTTGGGCATGGGTCTACTGCGGAGAGAGGGCGTGCCAGTCGGATCCATGGGCGACTTCCATCCCGCCAGCAGAGAGTTGCGCGCTGCCGTCCGCGACGCTTCCGACTTTTGCGACAGGTACGGGGAGAAGCTTGAGGTTCTCGCAATCCGCTTCGCCCTCGAGACTTGGCTGCAGACGGGTGCGCCTGTTGGATCTCTTGGCGATCCTGCTTCCGGAGTGCCGCTGACCAGGGAAACGATTGAGCAAGTTGGCGGCAAGAAGCTGGGAGTGAGCGTCATCGGCGTCAGCAAAGCCTCAGAGCTGGAAAAAACAATGATGGTGTGGAGGAGTATTCTGGACGGGTTGGAAGATGGCCAAGGCATTGCCGACCGCGCCGGTCGCTGGCGGCGAGCTCACGAGTGGAGTCGCAACAGGAAGCACGCTGTCCAGATTCTTGCTGAAGGCGTGCAGGAGTGTCTTGGGTCTTTTGTCGACTATACGTGGGATTCGCCGTCCAAGGGCTTCGTCAACCAAAGGGCGACCAAGAAGGCGGTCATGGAAGTGGATGCAAAGGCTCCGTGGCCAACTCCAGCGGCGAGTCCGGAGCCAGAGATCGCGGACAGGAAGGACCTGCCGCTGCGTTGACGGCTTTATGTGTACACGATAGATACATTGCAAACGGCGCTGGTGGTGTGAGGAGTTTTTGGCATGGGATCGCGGAACAACAATCCAGACTTGTTGCAGTCGCGTGAGAAGTGATCATGGGGTCGAGTTGCGGGAGCAGCGGAGGACGATGTTGTGAGGCCACCCGGACTGACGTAACTGAAGTCGAATAAGGGCGACGGGAGCCGGGATGATGATTGAATGATGATTTGATTGTAGGTACGTACATAGGGCGGCGCTGCAAAGCGACAAAATAATCAAGGCACAAGCACGGGAACAAGGCCGGACCCGGCGCGCCTTTCACAGCTTCAGACTCGCACAACCCAAGACAAGACAAGGCAAGACAAGACAAGACAAGACACGACGCACGCATTCAACGACCTTTTTTTTTTTTTTTTTTCTCCAAAAAGCACGCCCCGCGAATCCTGTCGCAAAAGAAACATCCGACGAGGCACAGCAGAGCAGAGGCCGCAGTCGCATCTGGAGCCAGCGCACCCACCCGCTCCCGCATCCATCCAGAGCCAGTGCAGTCAGTAGTCCTCGGCCCGTCCACAACAAGCCTCACCCTCATCCTCCACCTGCCTCCCCGCCAACCTCTCACCGTAACTACCTTACTTGCCTGCCAGACTTCCGTCCAACCCACCGCTCTCCAGCTCCGGTCGCTCTGCCAATTCGACCGCACACACGATGCGCTGCGGATGACCAACTCCCCCTCTCGCAGTCCTGGTGACACTCGAGCCATCGACCTGGGTCCCCCGCTTTAGTCGAGCTATCGAATGTTTACCTGTTGAAACTCGACCACTCCCCCAACCACGCCGACTTGCTGTAGCTCCGCCCAGCTACAGCTGCCTTTACCTCCGCCATGGGCAACAACTCGAGCAGAGAGGGTCGTCCCACGACCGCTGTAGGCCACTCGGGCCACTCCAGAGCTGGCGATGCTTCGCACGCCGCCGCCTCTCACTCTTCGCACGCCTCTGGCGATCGCATCTACTCTTCTCGCACTGGCCGCGGCAGCGGACCCGACCTCTCGTTCCTCGGCATCCGCCCCGGCTCCAGCAGCAGAGACGCTCCCGAAGGATACACGCGCCGCGAGACCAAGGCCGAGCGCGAAGCTAGGAAGCTTGCCAAAGAGCGCGAATTGAGGGAAAAGGAACGCGAGCGGAGCATGCGGGAAGAAGGCGTCGACGGAGGATATCTAGTCACATTGGGAACCTACACTGGAACAGAAGACTTTAACAAGCAAATTGTCAGACAGCTCATGGTATGTTCCAACGCCGTTTGACTCCAGGCGCATGGCTAACTTCCGCAGATTGAACGTCGGATAGCGCCCTTCTGGAAAGGACTCAACGACCACAACGACTCATGGGCTGAACATCAGCTGGTCGCCGCCGTCCGCGGCTTGCCGATTCCTCCTGCAGATGAGGCTCCCCCGGAATTGGAAAGTAAACCATCGGCATATGCTAGTCCCAAAGCCTCCGACTCGAACCTCAATGGCCTTATGGTCCCAATCACTGGTCGCTCTCAATCTGCCACCTCTGACACTTCGGGACGTCTCTCGCCCGGATACGGGGGGTTCTCACTCCCATCGCCAAGCTCGCCTGCCGGTAAAACAACCTCGTCCAATCCCTTCATCCGGACCCGTGCCAAGACCCTTGCAGCCCTCAGTACCACGTCCAAAAACAATTCTCAAGCCGACATGACTCCCCAAGAGATCATGTTGCCCAAAGACCCCTATGTGAACGGCCAGCCAATAGA